ATATAATGTGTTTTAATTTCTTAAGGTAAGCCGTTCACTACGATGAAATTAAAGTTCATGTATGAAGTAGGCTTATCAAATATAGCTATTTTTGCGTGTTGTTACGTAATTAAATAAAATAAAAAATGACCCTTGTTTGAAAAACGTCAGAACGAATTTTGTGTAGTAAGGCCTACTAAAGCTGAGTTTTCACTATACGAGTACGCTCGGACCGAGTCCACTCGGATGACTGTCAAGACGCTACTCGTAACGTGCAAACATGTGATCCGAGCGCACTCGGACGTCGGCATTCGATGAGAGTCGACTCAGACGCGGTTATATTTTACAAGTGTACTTGGATCATTTTACAAATCTGCCGTTCACTGATTAAAACGCGGCTAAGTGACAAATGGTTAAATAACCGTTTTAAATGGCAAAAAATAAAGCACAAAACTCTCTTTTAAAAACAGTTAAAATTAGTTAACGTGTTCGACTTGTCAGAGCTTACCCTAACGATGCGTGACGGAAATATCATTAAACAATTTCAATATTGGAAATGAAACTATTTTTCCGGATTTAAATCGCGTATATTTGTTTTTTCAAACAAACCGACGTTTCGGGCCCTTTACAGGTCCCGTGGTCACGGTTGACTGAATTTCAATATTCTAAAACTGGGTTATGGCTTTTTTATGATATCTCAAAAATATTTTGTCACTTAGTCGCGTTTTAGTTAGCGGACGGCAGCAATACAAAATGGCGAACTAATGGAATGAATGTGACGCTATGAGGTTTTAAGCGTGTATTCATTTTCCTCTTCCACTTTGCGAATAAAATTATTAGAAGCACCCCGTTGAACACGTCTTAAAATCCATCCATCATCTTGATTGCGCAAAGAGACAAATTCTACTCGCATGATGATGAACGCGTAAGGTGTAAACCGAAATCCGACTGGACTCCTGTACGATCTAGCTCGTACGAGCACACTCAGTCCGAGAGCACTCGTATGGTAAAACCCGGCTTAACAGTGGCGCCATACCAACAGCGGCGGAGTCCTTCAAGAATAGGATATCCACTACACTGATTCAATACGATTTGGGAACGTCACGCGTCTTGGAACAGTTCCTAGGATGATTGTTTTAAATATAAAACGTAAACACACAATGACAAACATACTAGTTTTACATGCTGCATTGCGTACAGGCGACGACGACGTTGTGACTAAAATAGCGGCGCTGCTGCATTTGATGCAATGGGATATCCTGAAGAATTATTTTTATATATCCCTGTCTGCATATCCGCTGCTCATTATTAATTGTTTATTGTAATTTTTATGTATCAATGCTCTTCATGTTTGTACGATTGTATGTATATATACAGGATACACATACTAACCAGTGAGCTTTTCTGATGTTATTTTTATGTTGTTGTTATTTGTATAGACCCGAATCTCACCAGCAAAAACGTAATGGCGGGACTTCGAATTCTATCTCTATGCTAAGAATTTGAAATTTGATATTGTTGTAAAACCGGATATAAGTAAAACGTGCAATTTATTTGCCCGGCGGATTGTACATATCCGTCATTTACAGAATCTGCCATTCGCCGAAAAAAGAAACTATTATAAGGGAGAAAAACTAATGCGGTCTGAAATGTTAAGATGAAGTTTAGAAATGTAGTAGCTTGGTGAAGTAGTTTATTTAAATTAAACAAATAAGTTTTTTTATGGTACTAAGTGACGGAAAAGTCGTGCGCTTGGTGGTAAGCGACACACCTGTCCTTAGCAGTTGTAGTGTCACTCAGAGCTTTAAATCGCGAAGATATGAGGGGCACTGCCACAGTGCCCGTCACCCTGAGACATAAGTTGATAAGTCCCATGTGTCTGTAATTTCACCATCACCTTTACCCTTCAAAACCGGAAAGTATTCATGCTCACATTATTGCTTGGCAGCAGAAATATTAAGGTAATACTTCCCTGGACGAAATCTTTCACAAGGAGCTACTAAAATTTTCATTTTATGTAACATGTTTTTGAATTTATGGATTAAAATCAGCACAAAAAACCTACTCCTATTTTTCGATCATATCTGTAGACATCAAGTTTTAGGAAACTATACACAAATATTATTACTATTTTTATAAACTTGCCTTCTACGCGAGAGATAGCGATTTCCGTAAAGGTTGTTTTGAGAAATATCTGAAGGTCCTAATCCCTTAAAGAATTAGGCACCCTGCAAAAATATGAGAGAATATGAAAGGATAATGTTAGCTTAACGTAACTTATTTAACAAGATATTTTGTTACGATTGTATGGAGCTAGTAAAACTCGTTCACCTTTGTACAATGTCTGTGATAACTTCAATATCGCGTTTGAATTCGATTAATGCCATCTAGCGGTGTGTGGGTGAAAACTGTAGAGTAAATATTTTCTATATAAATATCGACATTCGTATGCCCAATTTCACCAATTTCTTTCCATCTGTGATTGAGTGCCTTCAATATTATTTTTTTTATGTTTTAATTAGTACACATAATGGAATTATTATAAGTGAATTTAGTGGACACTCGATGAGGAAAACAATTTTGAGTAGATCGTAAGTACGTATGTATTACACAGATAATTAATTATATGTTATTCTACTATGTGATTACGCCCTACTGGATATATGTATTTATGTAGACACATACAATACAATAATTATGTTAATGTATCTACTTCTTATATGTTACATAACATAATTTTAAAGAACAATATTATGACTATTTATGTATAGGAATTTGATTTATAATAATACTTTGGTATTATGGTTTCTAAGGATGAATGAATATTTATCGCATCGTCGTCGGTTAAATTCGTAAACCTCGTACATCCATTAATGAGAACTTTTCAGCACACAAAAAAAAACGGAATTTCTAATAATAATTTTATATGACAGTCTGTAGGGCTAGCCCGACAGGGCGCGACTTGCGCGAGAGCGACACAAAGCGCGAGATACTGCTATTCTCGCGAAATTCCGTGGTTTATGTCACGCTCTGTCGTGCTTGCGCTACTGTATACCTTTGGTATATAAATTATATTTGAAGCTTTAATTGCCTGACACAGCGCTTTAAAAGTAAATAAGGAATCAATGTTCAAAAACGGAGTTACGAAGTTTTTCAAATTTAGCCGACGGTATCTTCTAGCAAATAATTGCCATAGTAAAGTTTCAAAATGCGGAATTACGGAAATGATATATGTACTTGAATATTTTTATCATCATATTAAATCATTAGAATCATATTACACAATTTTACTTCCTTACCTAATTAATGCTTTTGTTCAAATACTAATTAGTTTTTGAAATGTTACCATTCTTAATTTAAGTGTAAACATTGTAAATTAATACCAAATAAATAAAACTAGGTAATTTGAAGTTGGTTTTTGCATTATTCCGCAAATAAATCTGTAGCTTTTAGGTTAGAGAGTACGGTGAGCGTGTGGTGGCGGGTATGTATAAACAAATATTCTAGCTGGAACACCATACATACATATATTAGCACTAGGATACAAATAGTATTCACGTAACTGAGTGTGGTTTATTTTAAAGTAGTTAATATCTGCTTGTTTAACTATGTCTAAATTGCTTAAATCCTAGTTTTACTTCATAATATTGAAGCTTTTATTGTACCAATAGTAGACTAAATATTTAATAAACAAACTTAAAAAAACTCTTGTACACTTTTATGTCGAAGAAGATTATCCACACTTCGAAATATCAAGACAGACAAGTTAAAATGAAACTCTCATAATTTGTTAAATTTATGACAAATGTCAGTAAACTTAAATTTTAATTAGAATAATGTACGCGTGTATGTTGGTAGCTTTATAATGATTTAAAAGTGAAATAATAAATAAATAAAAAATATATATATTTCGGTAGTCGTGAATAAACTGTACATTATTGCAGAGATAGGAAATACTCAATTTCTATACGTCTACATGCGAGGTCTTCTAATATAAGAGCCCAGCGGGCAATTCTGTATCGTGTTTTTTTTTGCCTTTAACTTCAATTTGCTGTTATGTTTCGGCTGTTTAATTATGGATTGCTGATTGTATTTCTTTAACAACAGCACGTTTATTTTTAATATTTTTATTTAAGAATTCTTTATGTGTTTCTGTAGCCAAATAATTGTTAATTCATTTATATAATATGGTCAACTTATTAAATGCCTCGAAATCTAATTCAATTACTGTTCTGTTTTCAATCAGTTCGTGAAAGCATATCTTTTTCAATATTAGCTAAGGTTAGCTAATATTGAAAAAGATATCCACAAGCAGGTGCTTGTGGATAGAGGTAGATGAATCAAATAGAGAAGTTGTAATTTGTAAACTAAGTACGCATTCACAGACTTAAATTTAAATTGTCACGATTTTCCGGAGAAAATTCGTATAAAGTAATATTATGAAATTAAAAACTAGTTTCGGGAAAATATGTATTTTCAATTTATATTTCTTTATGAAACATATATAACTAAAATATTAAAATGCCTACAGACAGACCAGCACATATTGTTAGCCGTTTAGTTTAAGTGCTAACATGTATGTATATGTACAGGATTTGTCATTACAACCATCGACAGATGTAAACAGCGACTAAAACTGTGTTTTGTTCTATGCTATATATTCATTCTAAAAGGCCTAGCGCTCATTGACACATTTCGCAAATAATTATTAAACAGGTGTTTTTAATTTTTTCACTAGTTCGCAAATACCACTTTATATGTAACACCTGAGAATTTGACGAAAACTGAAACTTCATATTTCTATGTAAACACAAACATCACTTTATTTCCGTTCTACATCATTAGTACATTCTGAAAACGGCAAATGCGGTATACTAAATACCGTTTTGGTTAATTACCCATTTCATATAGTGTTCAAAGAAAATGGGTTGATACGACTTTTGAAGCTTATTAAGTATTGATTGTTAGTTATTATATTGACATTGCGGTGTCTGTTAAAAATTATGATAAGGGTGACTGACCTGTGATGCGATGCGTGCTCGTCAGGGCGGGCGGGCGACGACTGGGCGGGCGGAGAGACGCTCGCGCAGCCAGTGGACGAACTGGATTCGTTTAAAAGCGCACGAGACGAGAGCGCCACGGCGGGAAACTCAGATACGACACGAGATGAATCATTCAAATTCAAACTCAAACAATCTTAATTTCATAGATAACTAAATTGTATAATCCTCACATTGATTAAACATATAAGTTATTCGTAAGGCAGATTCCCCTAAAAAGAACGACTAAGAAATTCTAGGGATTACTCTTTGTAAATAAATATTTGTATACATTTATCATGTGTAATATTTATTTCAAGTGTGGACCACGGATTTTTGTCATCCAAGTACGTAGAAACTGTATGGTAATAAACTTCAGTGCAAGTTTTTTGTTTCACTGTAGTTTTAAACCTTTAACTTGAACTTTTGAGTAGACAAAGAAAACCAGAACTACCAGAAATAATTATGTACGATAACCTTTATTTTAGTTTTAGGTAACAATCTTATACCTTTGGTCTAGAAACTGTATTTTAAGTTTCAATTGCCCAATATTGTGCTTGAAGAGTAAACAAGGATCGGATTCAATTTAGCCGACGGTATACTTTGAACCATAAATTTGTGATTTTATGAAGACGATTGTCAAAAACAGCCAGTTTACTGTTATGTTCGTATTCATATTTATGTTTGTTTATCACTATTTTGCTTAAATGTTCTTCTATTCTTATAATTATTAACACAAATATCGAACACTTAGAACAAATTCCTCTGATCCGGCTGGATTCCAATCGACATCTCCTAACAAACCGTGGCAGACGCTATGCCAACTATGTCTTTCTTTGTATTAATAATTACACCAAACTAGTGGAGTAATTTCCCAAAAAAAAATTGAGTATCAATTCAATACAAATTTATTACTATTCTTCTTAACATAAATTAAAGTTTCACAAACATACTGTAATATATATTATATAAGAATATCAGATTCTAAATTGAATTATAAACATTTAACATTATTTTTATATTTAGGACATAAAATGTTAAAGTAGATACATTTCCATCGATAATTTACTAGCAGTAGAGCTCCTTGTGAAAGAGTTCGTCCACGGAAGTACTGCCACCTTACCTATTTCTGTTGCCAAGCAGTAATATCAACAATATGTTCGGGTTTAGAAGGGTAAGGGCACTGGTGAAATTACAGGCACACGGAACTTGCCAACTTATGTCTCAGGGTGACGGGCGCAGTGGCAGTGCCCATCAGATCTTTGCGGTTTAAAGGTCTTAGGGGCAAAGCAACTGATATGGACAGGCGTGTAGCTTACGTCGTTGAACGGTTACCATCCAGGACTGCCACGCAGAGGTGATGCGTTCGATTTCCAGGCCGGGAGAAATATGTGTATGGCCTACATTTATTTCTCTCGTGAGTTTGGGTGTAATTTGTGGTTGTCTAGTGTGTGTCCATGACACCCGCGACACAGGGTTTCCCTAGTGCGGGGCTAGGAGCGTGTTCGTTATTATTAAATTTATTGTAAAGTTTAACGTGTGAGTGACTTACTTGTTAGCACAAAAAACAGCTGGGTCTTCTGCAAGTCGTATGGATCGTAGTAGGGGAAAACGTAAGTGAGTTGATAAGCACGGACTAAGACCTATATCATTATTATTTTAATAATATCAAGTGACTGGGCGATATAATTTTGTCGTACTTGTGTCACAGCCCCTTACAGATTAGTAAAAGGAAACTGAAAGAAAAAAGCAGTATGTATTTGTTTTTTGAGTTTTTTCCAATACGACAAGTTATATTGATACATCGGTAAGCCGGTCAAATAACTCAGTTACAACGCTTTCTCTCTTGTGTTGTATGCACTATTAACATGCAGTGTCGGTTTGGAATCTGCTTGTCTAAGTACATTTTTACTCTGAATTATATGATAAATACCTATACCGTTTATGAATACTAGTCAGGCTGTTGTAAAAGAATGTAAGTGAGACAAGGACTGTAAAGGAATTTAAGGAATACTTTCTTTTACTAAATTTGTAGGACATAAAATAATTCATTTTTGGGTCATTCACACATTTTCCAGGTCTTTTCTACTGGAATAGAATTACTGTAGAATCAGCATCTATTTTCGATGTTAACCAAATCTTACGCTACTTTGTTTTAATTATAAAAATAAAAATACAAGTTCTTTTTGAACTTTTATTGCTTTTTTTGTTTCTTTAACATAAATAGCATTTATTTTTAATTATTACAAGTAAGTTACAAACGTACAATATGTATTGCACCATTAATAAATAATAATATAAAATAATTCTTTTATTTAGACTATTGCACCTAAATTACGGTACATAACGACATTGTATTTCATAGTGTCGGTGAACTTACTAGAAAAACATTGAAAAAAAAAAGCTTAATGAGTTTTTGGTTCCTTTATTTGGTTGATTTAGCATTACATTTAAAAATGACGGGACGGGCGGTCGGCGTAGGGCGAGTAGTGTGGAGACACGGTAGCTTAGGGCGAGCCGCTCGCCGAGCGCCCGTCCGGGCCGTACCCGGTCTAACGGCGCGCTGCGTCGACACGTATATGCGCCGGCGCCGCCCGCCGCTATTTTACATCACTTAACGAACGACTAGGCTTATACCCGACCGGAATTTGAGCCCCGATATCGACTGGTGGAGAGAAATGCTTAGCGGGGCGGGGGATAGGGTTCTCACTCCGAACTGAGCGCACGGGACTCCTGCACCAGATACACCTGAGAGCCGGGCACAGTGGAGGTGGTGACAAAGGTGCGGTGCTTGGCGCGGATCAGAGTCAGGTTGCTTTCAGCGACGTCGGCGCGGTCTTCGGCCGCCTCGAGTTCGCGCTGGAATCGTCGTACCCTCGTAACCGATTGCTGGGACATGCCCTCCTGTCACAAAATATAAATACGACTTTAGTTCTATTTCAAATAAAATGTAGGTACATTGGAAGTAAGATAAGTTTGTGTCATTTCCAATAAAACCACAAATCAGCAAAAAAATACCTGTTCAGTGAGTTGCCTCTTATAGATGTTGACCTTCTGAGTCACCTTCTCAAGCGAATCCTGGAGGAGAGCAATGTTCTTTTGGTCCTCCTCGCATTGAATCATGACTTCTTTGAGTTGACGCTCTTTCTTGCGGAGAATCTTAATGGTCTCGGCGTGCCTCCTCTTCTCCTCATCCGTCTCTAGCTCCAGGTCCTTAAGACGGGCCTCAAGTTTGCTGATAATGCGCTTTCCACCGACGATAGCGTTGGTTTCAACTTCTTCAAGACGAACCGAGAGGTTCTAAATCAAATCGAAAATGTAAAAAAAATTTACGAATCAATAAACTCGATACAAATCTCCAGGTTTCGTGTTTTGTCTATATTATTTATTACCTTAACTTCGATCTCGAGAGACTTCTTGATGGCTTCGATCTTTACAATCCTTTCCTGCTCATCGTGTAGGTGCTCGACGGTGTGTTTCAGCTCAGTCTGAAAGATGACAGACAATACGATATTATCATCTCTTTAGGTCATCATAATTACGGATACATTACAATAACATCGCTTACACTATTCTATTCGCTGTAGATATTTCTTTGAACAGATTGAATTTTGAGAGCTAGTTTATTTTTAGCAGTAAGTAGGTCTTATATGCAGAGTGGTTACCTGGACGCGCTGATATCTCTCATCAGCCACGCGCAGTTCCTTGGTGATCTCGTCGTAGTCGGCGGCAACAGCGGCCAACTCCTGCTCAATCTTGGCCTTGCTGCTTGACAAGTTTACGTTGATCACTGTTAACTCGTTGATGCGGGTCTGAGATTCCTCGTACATCTGCTCCACAGAGCGCTTAGCACGAAGGGCCTGAAAAAAAAAGATAAATCGCGTTTACACGGAAGGGAATGACAATTGCAGTGATTATTTATTGTAAAGTATCGCGAGTACATTTAACGTTTACTTATAAATACTGACCTGCTCGTAATTGCCACGAATCTCCTCGACCTCGCCTGTGAGCGATTGTATTCTACGCTGGGCGACGCCGTACTGGTCAAGCGTCACCTGGAGCTGCCTCTGGACCTCATCGTAGTGGGTCTGAATCTCAGTGAGCTGTCAACATTGACACACTTATTTAACACATGACATCTCATTATAATATGTTTTATCTTCTAGTGCGTCTACAAGTACTTTTACGCGAGTACCATCTAACGAAACAATGTTCGAAGTTCAAAACAAGAATAAAAATATATTAAAAGTGTAATAAAAAATAAACATTGTTGATGAATATGTAAATAGTATATAGCGATTTGAACTCGCCCTATTAGACCCCACCATTAGTATAATAATACATATATAGTATTTAAATATATATTTCCGTAATATTTTTACCAATGGTAGCTGCATGCATCTAAGTTAAACGACTGTTAGCCTTGAACACATTAGCAGATAGATATTACCAATTAGTAAAGTAACCTAAAAATTAAGAACGTATCTAGTTAATTAAAGTATTCTTAGTAATTAAAGTAGACTTCAAAATATTTCTAACTTTTCAATTAAAGAACGTGTTCTGATTATTCATGCCAATTATGTTACTTATTAGCCATAAATCTGTAGATTAAATGCAATGCTTATCATACCTGAAGCGATTGCTTCTTGATGGTCTTCTGAAGGTCGATGTTGGTTTTGTTGGCAACGTCCAAAGAGAGTTCTAGTTCAGTGATTTGCAACTGCAGCTTCTTCTTGATGCGTGTTACCTCCGTCTTCAGCTTGGTCTCGGCTTCAACCACACGAGCGTTAAGCTGCTCGATTTCAATGCTGGTCTGCTTACTATAAAAAAACCATAGCATATAATGCTTCGTTCATTATGTTAACATAATTTGGCGGAAATTGGATTGTTTGAGGTAACCTCATAGCCTGCCGAATCACAGTTCAAATTGTATGTCTCACTTAGGATAGATAATTTTAAATCTTTTCAAACAACAACTAAATTTTGTTCAAGTGCCGTGTAGAGTCACGTTTTACTAAAAGTTCTTTTCAAACATGCAAGATACAACAAAAAGCCGACAGTGCAAGTCTTATAGTTCACAATAATTTTCCAGTATGTACATAAATGTCCATTTGTTTTAAAACTAAATGAGATAGAATTAATGACATTTACGTATAACTACAATTAAACACAATTATTACCGGTATTTTAAATAATATTACCTGGTATCAATAAAAAGATTTGTTTGTAAGTGTTCGAATTGTTTTAAAGTATCTTTTATGTCGTTTAATTTGTATATATAACTTTCATCTATTGTTGGGTATTCAGTTTCAATTGTCACTATACACTTCCTGGGAGACGTTGCGCGGATGCTCCTTACAGCTTGCGAAACTGATTCCGAAAATTTATTGTCTGTCACGTTAGAAACTGTATTTTCAGATTTTTGCATAGATGACATCCAGTTTTCTGTAATTCGGGCAAGATTGCGGTCCACTATTCTTTTTCTAGCTTGTACATCCATGTGTCTCACTATCCCTTGATCCACATTTTTTCTGCTCTCTTGCAGCAAACTTTGAGCGATAGCTTTTGCTGATTTGCCTCTATACACTAAAGCTTTACTTCTCAATTCAGCACTTACATTCGCTGCTTTTTCATAAAGCTCGAGTTCCTTTTCAATTTCATCCATTCTCTTCTTTTGTCTCTCTGCTTTGGTTTTTTCCCTATCGACTTTCTTCTTTTTTGCTTTTACACTGATACTTTCAACACCAACGTGCTTTGTGACGTTTGCCGCTGCTGCAGTGGCCACTACCGAGAAGGCGGAACGCTGCTTATTGACATCGAATTTGTTGAGTTCCCTTTTTGCTTGTTCCGCTACTTCACGTGCAATTCGGGAAGTGTCTTCTTCTGAATAAGTTCGTATAGGTTTGTCAAAACGGTATTTTTCCAAACCCCTTTCGTTATTCCACGGCAGATGCGGAGGTTTTGCCGAAATACCGTGCTGCCGCTCAGAGATATAGTCGATCATAGGCTGGTAGAAATTGATACCGTAGCCATAATTATCTTCGTAGACAGAGGTGGGGGGTCTCTTCCACTTGCAGTAGTTGGGCACTTGAACAGGCGGCATGATGAAACAGTTGAAAGATTTACGTTCGCTGATCAATCGTTTCGTTTCACTAATCGTCACCCCGACGTGTGTCGCCAGGGGCCGACATTGCGTAATTGGGACAGTAAGATAATCAACGTCGTCTTTTGTACAATTATTAGCCACAAATGTGCCAAAATTGAATGTGATCTCTTGTAATATTCACCAATCACATGAGTAGTTAAATATAAATGTAGGTCGTGCCAGTTTTGAGTCATGTAATATAAATAAGTAAATGTGAGTACAGTGTAAATAGTTTCATTGCGGAAGCAATACGTGGTATGTTAATTTTGGTACTTTACATTAGCTACTTAGTTATTCGTTGAAACATTTGCAGATTTTAAATATTAATGTAAATTGCCCTAAGTCCATGATGATTTATTGATTTAATCTGTCAATATGAAATTGGCGTGGATCCATTGATGGAAGTGTGTCATGGTTGTGATTTGATAAGGCCTGTCGGTTGAATGTTTGGATGACACTCGTCACTTAATTGGCTGCGAGGAGTGGGGAGATAGCGCTGAAAGACGCATAGGGCATGTAGTTCCGAGTTGGCGATCGCAAGGTGTGGTTTGTATGCCATCTGGTAAATCTGTTGTGATCTGTGCTGCTGTATTTTTGGGAGTTGAGTTTGTTTCTCTTAGCATTTACTTGGGGAAATTTTAGTTCTTCAGCACCGTGTTAAATAAAACTGACCAAGTGAGTAATCGTGGTAACAATTTATTTTTCCTTTGCGCCACCTGATCTTTTAACATTTTGATTTAGATTAGTGACTAATGTCATACTTACCTGTAAATATATATATATATATATATATATATTTACATACTCGTGTAAATACTTACCGGATGGCTTCAATCTCTTCCTCCTTCTCCTGGAGGCGGCGCTCTGCCTCGTGGCGGAATTGGCTGAACTCGGCAGTCAGCCTCTGCGAGCGCTGCTCCTCTGCTTTGCGGCCCTTTATAACAACAGGTAATCATATTAAGCATACTGCGATATATAATGTAGCAGGCTAATGAAAAATTGCGAAAATATTTGGTATGTACACTGTCATTGCCAGCAATATTTTGGTTAAATATCATTAATGTGAAAACTACGACCTAATCATCGAAAATATTTTATGCAATGTGGTTATCAATTTTTTACACGAAGTTGTATTTCGCGAATTTCTTTAAATAATTTAATTCTTATGTCAGCGAAAACTAACACCGAGCGTATATAAGTCAAATTATACGAGACAATAGCCTTCGATTCTATAAATACTGATTCCTTTTCGAATTGCGCGGTACTCTGGCAGTAATTTTCTCATTTATCTGTGAGCTGAATCTCTGCCAAAGCATTACTAACAAGTCAATGCGGCCTGTTAATTAATGCATCTGCAACAATGCCGTCAAATGAAACAGTTGAATGGTATTATTAGGACCTCGGTACAATTTAATGAAGAACTTCCATTTGTTTCTATTCTTATGAAGCTGGTCAAGTGTGTTTGCGTGGTTTAGATGAAAAATCGGGATTTATTTTTTTATCAGAATATTACATATTACCGACATTGTCTACCTGATTTTTACTTTCTAAATTTGACTGAATTGACTGCTTACATTGTCTTAGTCTCTATTAAAACACTGATGATAATAATAACGGTCAATGATTTGGTGGACATGTAAGGACGTTACAGTGACGAAGCTATATGGAATATTACTTACGGCCTCAGCTTCTTTGTAGGCGGCAGTGAGTTCTTCTCGCTCGTTCTCAAGACGGCGCAGCTCGATCTCGAGCTCGTGAAGACGGCGGGTCAACTCGGTGATGTTAGCGCGAGCTTCGTGCAAGTCGTCTATAAACAAAATGTCACTATATTTTTAACACTGTTTAGACATTCTTCAATAATCGAATTCTTTTCCACGAGTTATTAAAACGAATTAATTACAAATAACGTATATATTTTATTTGCTTCGAATACTGAAAGTTTTCATGGTATTCGCTAGTTTTGATCTCAAATTCTCAAATCACGATTAAAGAGGAAGTGCGACGACTTCCGCTCATAGGCTCAGGAAACGCAAATAATATTCATCGACCTGAAAAATTTGTGGATGTTTACGTAACCATAACGCTCTCCTCATGACCTCACTTTAAGGACTTGGGTGGTTGAAAGTGTTGGACTGTGAAAATCAATTTGGGAAACTTTGGTGCAGTTACACGTATTTTAGGTGGCGCTCCGGATTTCGTTGGTCTAATATCCCCAGCCAAGGACTCTCCTAGTTTGAGATCAGGTAATTTGTGGTACTTATCTAGGACTTTATTATTACAATTCTTTGTTCAATTCAGAACAACTGATTGGGCATAGATTATGTCTATTTCGATTTTTTAATTTTATTTAGACAATATTTGTAAGCATTGTAGATAATCTAATTTTGGTTTGTAGCGCGTAGCGTATAACAGTAGACGAAGTTGAGTAGAAAAACCCAGTAGTAAATTTCAAGACCAAGGTCAAGGCCACTATCATGATGTTATCGCCAAATTCAATCACTGGGGCAATAAATAATTGTAATTAATTACAGGGGGTGCCAGACATGAATACTCTCCGCTATGTTTGTATTAATAGACTGGACCATTTTATAACTTCCGTAGCATTGACTGAATGGGTGTTATTGGTCTAACCAACAAGACATCTCAAGAGTTAATACTTAACATAAGGTTGCTTTATGACTTTGAATGAACACTAATCAATGCGTGTTTTGCTGCAAGTATATTTTCAAATTTATTAATATTAATATCGAACATCGATACCGTGTGCATTTGGATTACAAAGACGACCAACCAATGTGTTCTTGTGGGAACAAAACCACTATAAATCCGTTTTATTAATTTATACCCCATTTGATAGATCTAAAACTTAAAGTAAATGAATTTTTTTATTTATATTAATATATTTTATTTATACTATGGTGTGGCTAGTGTTGCATTAACTATGTCGGTGGTTTTAGTATACTTACCACCCAGTTTCTTATTCTCGCGGCCAAGAGCGTCCTTCTGCTCGCGAGTCTTGTCCAGCTCGTGGCTAACTCGTTGAAGCTCTGTCTGTTTGTTGCGAAGGTCGCGCTGAGTCACTTCATACAGCTGCACAGTCTCTTCAAGACGCGACTTGATCTCGATGTTCACACGCTCAAGCTGCTCAGTTCTCTTTTGCAGCTCCCGAGCTGTGCCGTTCGCCTTTTCTAGGTCGATGATAAGTACTTCGACCTACGAATAATTATCATGATTCTGCTGAAAGACGACCACTGTTGGATTTAATAAAATGGGGCACAATTGGTCATAAGGCGGACTGAATCTAAAATAAGGCTCTAACTGCTTTCGAAGTTAACCATGGTTTGAAATAACCTTTTAAATGATAAACACAAACAATTAATGAGGATATCAATTGTGAAATTGAATTAAAATCTTAGTGGCATACCTCACTCTGGAGACGAGATTTCTGTTTCTCAACGTTACTGATCTTGGCGATGAGAGTCTCAATTTGTTCCTCTTGCTCTTGTATGCGGATAGAGTACTTGCGGCGGATCTCCTCGATTTCCTCCGCACGCGCGGCAGCCTCGGCTTCGAACTTGGACTTCCAGTGCTGCAGCTCGCCGTTAGACCTAACTAGCTGCCGTTCCAGATCCAAACGGGCCTCAGACTCTTCCTCCAACTGCACGCGGACGGACTCCAGGTCGATTTCAACCTGTTGGATGTTATTACAAATATTATAATATAATAGTTTTAAAAAACAAACAATATGTTTAAAAAAACGGCATTGCATACGCTGGGTTCTATCTATCTTATCGTTACCGTATCTTTATATTTTAGAAGGAATACGCAATGACCTGGTGCAAGTTAGCCTCGAGCAAAGAGCGCCTTCTGTCCTCATCCTCGAGCCTGCGGCGCGCGTCTTCCAGCTGACTGATCAGCTGGCTCTTGAGGTACACCGTGTTCTCAAGGTTGACCTGAAATTAAATGTGCAGAATATTCCATTTAACATGACGTATAAAAATTATGTAACGACATCAAATTCATGATAGTATCTAAAACATCGACTACTTTTTCAAGATACGTTTAATACTCGTATAAGCGTAAAGTGCTTTATTAATATAATTTTTTACTTCGTACCTTCGAAAACATAGTAGCATTGATATTTTCAATCTGTTATGGTCACCACTGTCGCATTTAACACATTTAATAGTTATTTTAAACTAGTCTAACATACCTTAAGGTCCTGAACTTCCTTGGTGAGCTCAACATTCTCTACAGATAAACGCTGCTTGTGTGAGGTGATGTCCACAATGGTGCGGTTCAGCTCTTCAATCTTGATGTGCAGTTCGCTGATGGTAATTTCTAGCTTTTCAACGACCTTCTGGACAGTGATCTTCTCCTTGGTCACATTCTCAACTTGAGCCAGTAGCTCGTATACTTCAGCTTGGAACTTCGACTTTTCTTTCTCTACCCTGGAGACAAAGAAACGTATTGTGTAATCTCAAAGTTTTAAAGATTGTTGTGAAGAGAATGAATAATTTGTTAATGTGATTGTTTTGACGTGAATCGCACAGCTTACGCTAAGTTTCGCACAGCTAATCTTACATCTAATATACATAACTCGTCACTCCGTTAGTAATGGACCAAATTGTTAATTGAAGGTTTCTGCAGTCCCTCACCTGGCTTTGCTTTTGGTAAGCTGGTCGATTTGGTCCTGGAAATCCACCACGATCTCTTGGTGTTTCCTCTTGAGCAGGTGAGCAGTCTCCTCAGACTCAAGGTGAACATCTTCCAGTAGTTTGCGGAGCTTGGTCAACTCGGTGTCGCGTTTCCTGTTGATCTCGAACTGAAAAATGAACGCGATCGTTTGAATAGGACCCCAAAATTTAAAAAAATTTTGGAGTCTTACATCTTAAGTTTAAATAATACGGTAGGGTCAAATGCTTTTTTGTTTCGGACACTGTCTTGTAGTTCATTACTTTTTGTCTTGACCTCCGTGATAGTAATTCTTCTGTTTAACCTTTTTTAAAATCAAATCTATAAGTAAAAGTTTTCACTTTACACAAGTACACACACATGATATTGTCGCTTAGCGATATGCAATTTCGCAATAGCCTTAACCAATACGTTTCGCAAAGCATAATTAAGATAATAAAAGTATTAATATTTCTTTTGTTATAAAAATTATACGTTTATTTAACAACAATGTTGTCGTGGTTATTGTGGTCAAAGAATTGAGATGGTTTTATCTGTCCCTTAATTTTAGTTTTTTTTTTATTTTCAGTTTAGTTTGTTGAGTTTTTGCTTGATATATATGTTACATTTCTTACATTTTATTGTATATCGTGATCACTTTCCAATTTCTTCCCTTATTATTTTTAGTGATTCATTATTTCTATGCCATGCTTCATTATATTTAACTTTCTTGTTGTCTTGTTCTACAGATACAAGCAATTCATTATCTCCCGTCACTGGTTCTTTGTAACATCATTTTAGTCGACTTAATTGTATTTAATATATTGTTATCTATTTATTTGTGCTCACTAATATTAGTTTATTTTTAACGTATTTTATGAGAATAAATTAATGTATACCTGGCTCTCGGCTCCGCCTTCAGCTTCCTCCAGCCTCTCAGAGAGTTGAATTACTTGCACGCTCAAATCTGCCTTCTCCCTTTCGATCTGTAAGTTAAATATTGATATAAACCCCACGAAAAAAAAAGTTTAAAAAGAGCAATACTAATATATACGTACTAAAAATATTAGTTGTAATGTATTTGATTCATTAGCTTTACTACTTACTTTTTATTAGACCTTTATTTTCGAAAATTTAGGATATTATGCAGCGTCCTATAATTTATATATACTACGGTATTGTTTCTGTCTAAAATAAGGAATGGTTCATGTCTCACAACGCTGTGACTAACTGGGATATTTTCGCTACTTATACCACAGTCTATTATTATATTTCATTATTGTGGCATTCTCAGCGGCAACGAGCATCATTTGGCCCAGTTTCAAAAGTGAGATCGGAGAGCGAGAAGTTGAAATTTCAGAGAATGCTTTTGCTACGTGGCTAAATTTATCGCGGACAGAGTCGATTCCGCGCATGCGTGTGGCAGTGCTGCGCTGGCGCTGCGCGAAGCGCGCTTCCACCGCGCCAGAAGCTGCGCGAACCGCTGCGGTGCAGTGGTCAAAAATAGGACACAAACGAATTGATCAGATTACGATCTCCGAATGACTAAATGACATAATAATGTTAATCTTAATGATTTGTAGACATGGACGTTATGAAGGAGTAAGAATGTGATAATGATATTGAAATTAAGAAAACACTTTATTTAAGAATGCAAAGTTATTAATCAAATTTCGGACAAATTTTTCTTGCAAATGCTTTGGTGTAAGTTAGAAAGGTATAAAAATTCTTTATTTGCTTTGTTACATTCGGAGATATTCACTTCAGTGTGAAGGTAGAATTTTCCTGAAGTACGGGAAATTTCATTTTTCACTAAGAGGGTGCAAAGGGAAGCGTTAATTGAGGACTGGCGGTATTAATAGAGGTGTACGAAACCCCGCCCACACCTGCGCGCGCGCCCGCTATGGCCTCGGGCGCGCGCGCTGCTCGGATCACGTTTCGCGCTCGCTTACCCTCTGACGCAGCTCTCTTTCGGATTCCAGATCATCATGGAGGAGACGAATCTTGTCCTGAAAAATACAAGATACGCTATGATAGGACCGCAAACACTTCACAAGCACTGCACTAGTATCCCAGTCGGTACCTCCAATCTGGAGAGAGCACTCAGGTCGGCGCTGTACTCGATGTTGACGTCTGTGGTGCCGCCACCGCTGCTGCGGTAGGTGTACTTGGAGGACTTCGCCACGGCGGACATTTTCGCTGTTCGTCTCTCGGTCGGCAGTCGGCGCTACGTTACCGGTCGGGCACCGTTCGACTAGTGAGAACGCGTGCGAGAAGCGCGCGCGCACCAGCGGCCGTCCCGCGCCCCCTCTCCCGCCCCGGTCCCGCACTGCCCGCTACCACGCCCGCGTCGCTCCAGGCTCCCGGCGGGCTGGAGCTCGCGGATCGTGTTACCACCCCCGCGCACCCCCCTCTCAGCCTTTTATAGACACGCCCGCCTTACTGGCGTCGCATCTCTCTTTTATTTGTTTTGCCCAAAATTTGGCGAACCCCTTCACGTTTTCGTCCTACACGACCAGCCACAGCTGCATGATAAGCACCGGTGGCAACGAAGAAAGTTTGCTGGCAGCTGTTGTCCACCATCTACTCCTTGGCAGAGTAACAACGATACTTTTTAATGATCTCAAGAGTACTAGAAAGAGGGAAAGACTTCTTGTTGATTTTTGTTACGTTGATTGGTATAAATCAGAATAGTTCGAAAATGATATTGATAACCTCTACCGTATACCTGTATACAGTTAGAAGTTAACATCGCGGGAAGGGTAGATCAAATGATAACGATATAGCATTATAAATACGTGTGTGGGCGGCGGTCGGGGTCCAGGTGCTTCCTGGTACATGCCTAACAGTCCCTGGCACTGCGAACGCAGTTGAATGCCACCAACCAGATGAACTTAACAATGAACTTCTGTTTTGTAAATTTAACCTCACGGGATTTATATTTACAAACATGAATTTAATTTCATTACAAGACTTTCTGCAGATATTATGTTTTGTCAGGTCGGTATTTTTGTCCATCTAATAAATATATCAAGCTCTGGAGCATGGTATAATGTATGAAATGATTCGAAGTTAGATAGAATACAAAACATTCGACGATTTTAAAGTTAGTAGGATGGGCTGCTACCGCGGGTTGGTACAAATATTTAGAAAAAACAGGACTCGTAGCACCGTCGTAGACATTTTCGTAGACGACATTATAGCATGTGCCTTACCGTTGCGTTGTTTGTTTCTTGAATTTTGTGCGATAGTTGACTATATTGTATACGAAGAAAGCAAACTGTGTAAAATAATGCCAATACCCACATATAGGTGCATAGGTGTGCAAATTTTAATAATTAGGTATTAAATATTAGTACATGTTCTGTTTAGGTTTAAGAGTGTAAAGTAAAGCAATGCTTAAAGCTTTTGTAACTAAAAAAAATAGAATACATATTCGGATGTGCTGCCAGCTTGGAGATTGATATGTACTGAAATTTAGTATATAAAAGCAATATATATATATATAAAGCAAATATAATACCAGCTCTCGTTTGAGGTAATATTTAATGAAACGTATGCATGAAAAAAAAAATGTTTTTGTTATAATAATATTGAAAATGGACGAACGCATGAGTCATATTCGCGGGAGGATACTGAGGTGAGGGGAGTAATGGAAAGTATTCGGCCCACTTTGTGCAGGTACGAATATAACCGAATACTTTTCCACCTGCCCGCAAGTTGAAATCGGGACGACGGCGCGACGAGTGAACACTCCAGAGAAAAAGTGTTAGGTACCAGTGACCAGAATCTAATTTATTATTACTGTACCCAACTTTAAAACGTGCATTAGACGAGACAACAGAGCTAGTTATCTAACTTCTCAATCGATTTTTTCGTTGATACGTCATTTATTTATTCCTTATATTTATAAATGAAAAATAGTAGCATAAATCCAAAAAGCTGACGACAATCATGCCAGGGATTTTCCAGAAAGTACAATTTTGCAATAATAAATTAGTCAACAATTTCATCCACATTAATAGGTTGTTTTCTGTGTATGACTGTACATATGGTTGGAGGATCCGAAATAGAGCGATGAATAATAACGCTCCGGACTGCGCGCGCATCAGAATATCTTGACATTTGCTGGACGCATTAAGCTAGACTTAAGATTTTAGAAATACTTCTCCAAAGAGGTGTCATTTAAAACATTTAAAATGAGGTATCTTATAAATTTATGAGGTATCTTAATATTAGTGCAATTTTTTTACTGCAAGCCAGTTTTATTACTTATTATTATTCAGTTTTTTTTGTTTATTGTTTGGTTTATCCCTTAAGTAACTGGGATACTAATTATAGATACTGGAGGATCATCCTTGTAGACTCTTGACTTTTTTTCCCTCACTGGTACTGGGGCACTTTTGTAACCTTCAGAATCAGTATATATAGCTATATTTAATTCAGTACAAATTTTGTTTTAATCTGAGCAAATAAACCATTCGAATATGATAGTTTTGTAGACATCACTAATTATTTGATGATTTTTTCATCATCAACCGAATCACCCAACCAAATTTGTACGCCCTGCTTCGGGGAAAATTAATAAAATATACATATATATGTATATATATATGTATATTTAATATATATAATCTACAGAAATTTTTTCTTGTCTTAAAAAAATTGTAAAAGGTAGAGCCGCTGTATTGTGTGAAAATTTACGTGTTCTTGAGCGTACACAGTTTTGTAACCTTATAATACTTACTTATCCTATCGACGGCATAGACTTACAGTCGGAACTATGGCACATGTTTGCTATCGTTGTATCCTTACAATTTAAGAGGAAACTAACAAACCTCAATCTTAGAAATTATTTTTAGATCATCACTGGTAAAATGTTAGAATTATATCCAAAATAGAACCAGTCGTCTTTTATGAAGTGCCTGACCTGGCATTTGGTTTCTTAAAGACGTAGTATGAAATGTAAATTTCAAATTATGTTGGCATTTGCTGTGGATGACATTTAGGCCCGGCGGCTCCTGAAAGGACAGGACGGCAAGGGATTTTTAGATACGAACACTAATATACCTTAAGATTATGACGTTACAATTGCAATTTCAATGACATAATGATCGTAGCTGCAAATTAAAGCTGCGGTATGCTTAGGGATGCCGAGCTGGCAGCCTCCAGAATGCCTAGGTAGTCTTGGGAATGCTTCGGAAGCCTAATGGATGCTTCAGGAAGCCGAATGTGACTATGCGGCTGTGTGAGCGATCTGATGAGAGACCAAGCGCGAGCACGATGTTGCTACGGCACGCCTAAGGACGTTTAGGCATGCTTAGGAATGCCAAGTCGGCGGCAGCCTCCAGAGTGTCTTGGCAACGTCGGGATGCCTCGGCAGCGGTTACCTACCAGTAGTCAGAAATAACGTTTGCTTGAATTTTCATAACCTCGAAAGTAATTTTGAGAGGAAAATGCATTTTCTGTTAAATCTACTACCTTAACCGAACCAAATCGTGTCTTTGCGATAAACATCCAACATATCCTCAAATAACAACGGTTTCGTTATAATTCGGTTTTCGGTGTAATGAAAATTCGAACAAAAGTTATTTCGGAAAAGAAAGTTCGAGTTCGTGATAGGTTACCTTCGGCACCTTCGGGATGTCGAGTTGACTATGCGGGTATGCGGGGCGAGGCGAGGTAGAGAGAGATCTGAAGAGAGCCTAGGGTCTAGCACGATGTCGTGACTGTATGCTTCGGCATGCCTAAGGATGTCGCGGTATGCCTAAGGTTACCGCGACATGTTTAAGGATGCCTCGACATAATTACCGTCGTTGTACACTTGCATGTAGGGATGCCGAAGAATCCCCTGCCGTCCCATTCCGGGCCATCGCCGGGCCTTAAACTCCATTCATTCACTGCGCGACTTATCCATTAGCAGAGTGTTCATATTATGGTAATACGAGTACATTTCTGTGAAGCACTACTTTTATGTACAAGATTGTACAATTACGTACGCCGATACAAGCGTAAATAGGAAGTTATTTATAATCACTATCAATAATCACTGAATTTTCCAAAGGTCTTACGTCAATAAGTGAACTGAACAATAATGAAATGAAAAAGATATCTCACCATAACATCAAAATGGATTCGTAATGATAAAATGCAAGTGTCGTATATGAATCATACAAATATACATTTATTTTTTCTATGTACATTCAACATTTTAGAAATATATTCGCCATTGAGTAGTGGTATTTAAAACTAGGGAATAAACATTGGTAAATATAGATGCTCTTAAGATTATGCTCTTATCATAAGATAAGACGGACTCTTAAGACAGAGGTCGCGACGTCGTCTGCGTGGAATAAGTACTTCGAGTAGCTTGAAAAATGGTTGGTTCCCTATACAAACTTTCATCCTCTATTTCACCCCCTTTAAGACATACCAAAATTCAGCAAAATAGTGTAGTTCAGTGGTTTAGACGTAGAAATGTAACAGACAGACTTACTTTCGCATTTATAATATTAGTTTAGATTAGATACATACATTAAAAAACAATTCATATTATAGACATGTCTGCGCGGGTTTCTTTATATATTATATACTTTAACTCTTCGATTGTCGTAATATGTCGTCTGTGGTCGTAATCTTTTCGCAATTCTGATATATGACATATTTCATTGTGCTAAAGTTTAGTGGCTATGGCACTTGAGTCTCAACAGAGTGTCCGTGGAATGGCAGTGATGGCATTCATGCATTCTATCGCTAACGATCGATGTTGCTTTACTAAAAACTACCATATCTTAGTAAACAATAACTTTAATCACGTTTAATCAGCAATTAGAAATATTTTATGTTCATAATATACAGGTAAGGTACAACAAAAGTTTAAATATTAGAAAGTGAAACTAGGATTATAGCATATGAATAAAATTGGGTCCCCGCGGCAAGGTGCCCAAGATGCTGGCAGCGTTCCTCCTTTGTATGGCTATGCTAATGCGTTGGGCAAGGTAGCTGCCGGCTCTTGGGTTTCCCAGACAGTGTATTAATTTTTTGGATAAAATTTTACACAGATGAAGGGCACCGGGGCCTCACGTGTTTCAATTCCAAAGGCTGTAAATAGGTAGTCGGAGCAGAGGTCATTTAGACTTAAAATTAAATATATATCGTATTAGTAGACTACGCCATCGACGTGCCATCGACTCGCCATTGAAATTACAGGCATATCACACTTGTCAACTTATGTCTCAGGGTGATGGGCGCAGTGGTGGTGCCCAAAG